AGAAAATAAATACATATTAATTATACCGGTCGGTTGAGGGTATGTCGGTATGGTATAGGGCGCACTACACGGGTGGTTGGGCAAACGGGCAAACATTTTTAATATACTGTCATTACCGTTGTAATTAATTCAAAAATAGAGACCGTTATGGAGCCGCTGTGTGACGACCATTAATAATTATTATTTGTCAGCCCAGTACTGAGATATTATTTTTAAATATTATTCCAAAAAATGTATACATTGGGTACACGCAGTTTCTTATTATATTATTATGTATTTTTTTGTATTGCTATGTATACAAGCGTGCCACGACCCAAATGTAACGGCTTTAATAGTACAAATTGTAAAAAAAAAAAAAAATGGCTCCCAAACGGCATTTACTTACACATAATATGTATAACATGATTTTCCTACGAACATTATATATTATTTCATAATACTATTAGAATTTCCATAGCTGTTGTGCTATGATTTTTTTTTTTTTTTTACAATATTACCTAACCTTTTGATAATTATTCTTCCAATCACAACGCGTATGTCTTTTTCTAATTCAACGACAATATTGCAAACTGCGCCTAATTTGTATTCAAATTTGAAATTACACACAGGTAGAATTACACTCAACTGTAATCGCGCGAGTGTCCACGTAACAAGATTTTTTTCATTTTCTTCATGTTTCGCCGCATACACTAAAATGTGTATATTTTCTACTTATTTCAGATGTTGAACACGATAATATGCACTTGACGTTTCGACGACGGTGATACTCTTAAAAACTATGGATATTACTATTTTTCGCATAATCAACTTTTTGGCATCAGTAACATAATATTATAGTATATAAGTATACAAGGCACAAGTACAAAATAGTTAGATACAAATTACAATTGAATATACTTACTTATTTACTTTTGAAAAATAAAAACACATAATACTATTATTGCTAAAAAGCTATTCATTTGTATAGGTACGTCATATTATGTTTTTCAATGGGGAAAAAAATGAATAACATTAAAAAAAAAAAATATTGGTTATTCAAATTTCAAAAACGTCATTCGCCAACAACACGTTTCCAAACGAGTAGTGACTTGTCTACCGGGCAAGCAAAACGTTTTTTCCTTTTTTTTTTTTACGATTATTACCACATTGAACTTGCTCCCGCCGTTTTTTCAGATTACTTTGTTAAGCCTATACACTATATTGCCTACACAAAACTCCTTAAAGACGGGCCGCTAAAAAAAAAAACCGTCACAAACGATAACGATAACGGTCAACAACAGCTGACAACGGCTGTCACCATCTTATAACCAGGTATATGGTAACATCCTACACTGGAAAAGCGTAGCGGTTTTTTTCCGTCCAATATGGCGGCCACCGGCGTGTGTAGTTTTACACGCAAACACCACACATACTTTTCGGCTGAATACTGATCAATGCGCGCCGGCGGCTGCCATATTGGACAAAAAACGGCTACGCTTTGGAACGCCGGTGACGCCGGTCGACGGACTCGCGTTTTGTTTTAGAACAAATACAGAAGCTATTATTGTTGTTGATTGACCGTATCATATTATGATAATATAATTGTTGTTATCACATTATCTGAGTGAATATACTATTATTGTTTTTATATTTCAAAGCTTACCCCGTTTTCGGCAAATAAAACCGTAAAAACACAAAACAAGAAATACTCAAAAATCGCGACCCGTCACAACGACGATAAGCACCGACGTGTGGTAGTAAAGGGTGTCTTGGTATTTTTTTTACCCCGAAAATAATTACACAATGTGGTAAGTCCTGGTCGCGACCGTTTACATATTATTATCAAGTGTTTTTCGCGTGTACCTACTTAGCTGTTGAAAACGTTCGTAAGAATTTTGTCCAAATCGACAGCGGCCGTCCGACGGTTATACGTAACCGTCGGACAGCCGCTGTCGATTTGGATCCGGACGGTCTATGGGTCTTGTACGGTTATTGCAGCCATGTGGATAATAGGTACAAGTATTTTACATTATTTCTTAATATATATATAAATAAATAAATATATATATATATATATATAACGTGAATGCTTGCGTTTGTATGATGTGCTTTTAAATGTAAACCTTTTGAAAAAAATGTACAATTTTCAACTCTTATCGCTTTGTATTATAAATATAATATATATATAAAATACTATATATTGTATTATAAAACTTAAGAGTTAAGGAATATTAATATTAAGTTTATAATAAAAAATAAAGTAAAGAGTTACTAAAAAGTTATGATCATAAATAAACAAATATGTTTTTTATTTAATGCATACTGTTGCATATTTGCAACATGCTAAAATATTGTAATTTTCAATACAAATATTTATTTTAGATTTTTTAAATTATTTTTTTCAAATTCTACTTCCTCGAATTAGTTAAAAAAAAATGTATTTATCTAAAATTTAAAAAATCATGCATTGAAGGGTTAAAAAATAGTTTTACAACTCATTTTGTCCTATTCGATTGTACCGATTGTTTTTTTATGCACAATCATGATAGTAACATATGGGTCCCAGTCGAATCAAAATTGAGATTCGATGACACACGCTCAGAGTTGACAAAAGCACACACACAAATATAAATAATTATACACAACGGTTTACATTGTGATACTAGTGGTCCACGGGTTTTTGTGTCGTCGTGTTTGCCGGCAATTTAATTTTGCAAAAATCCTGTGCGACATACCATAATGTAATAATCAACTGAATGTATTACGTTGTACGCTCAAAGTGTAAAATAGTCGTTAACTAATGTAGGGACGAGCACAATATTTTATGATACAAAAAATTCTAATGGCCTACAGCTTATTATTTGTATACGCTCTCTTCTAAAATGGGTGACAATTAAGGTGAATATGTGCGATTTTTAAAATGCCATTCAAGTCTAAATTGTGCCTTTGCTGCTGCCTACGCTTGAGTTGTGCAAATACCACAAAAATATAAATAAAACATTTTAAAAGGTAAAATACTAAACTATTGCATTATATTCTTTAGGACAATGTGAAGTATGATAAAATTCCCAGCAAAGAGTTTCCCAACAAACGCTGTGCACTCCAACGATAGAAGTGAATGGATTTCAAAATTTGTGCAATCCAAATTTCAAAAATCGTTTCCAGACCTTACCCGAACACTCGTATGGAATTTGTATTTAAAATTAAGGTTGTATGTAATATTGTTGTTGTTGGAAGAAAATCAATAATGTTGTAGGTAAACAGGCAACACCCCGTATCGAGCCACTACGGTCTACGCCGCCTGTGTAGTTGTACTGACATTATCTTCTTAATAATGATACACCGTACAATTTGTTTTTTTATTACATTTAATTACAACTGACATTATGTTTTAGTTAGTTTTCATAATTTAGTTGTTGAAAATTCAAAGCCAGATTTGAATGTTTACATCCTTATTTTTACTGAAACTGATTATTATAATGATTGAAAAATGATGTTGTCGACTCCATATTATTATTATATACAAATCTATATAATCGTATTTAGCTGTTTTTGCATACTTTAGAGAATAGCCCAAAAGGATGTGTATGAAGTTGCATAATATTGTTGAAATAGTTCTAAAATAAAAGACATTTTATAAAGTATCTACGTTATCAAATATTAGCACTTCTCAAAATATTACCTTTTTTTAGCTTCGATGTTGGTTTTTCAACATTATCTTGTCAATATACAATTAGGCAGCACCGACAGTAACACCCAAGTATCATATATTAATCAATATAATAATAATAATACACGACAATAAATAATCTTAATAATAAACCTAAGCCAAGTTCTTAATTTAATAATCAAATTTTATTTATTTTTATTTTCCACGAGTAGCAGAATCATATGGCATCTCAAGAAGTACTGTACTCGACCCATTCATGTTTTTTTTTTGATAAGATTCATTAAAACTACGATACTGTTTTCCAAACTCAATGAGAGGGGAAATACAATTTTTTTTTTTTAATTAAAAACAAATATTGTTAAATGTATATATTTTTTTACAACATTTATACCTAGATGCAAATGATAATCTACTAAACAACTTCCTTTGTTCCTTAATTGGATTGAAATATTTTTCAATAGGTTAACAATTAACAAAAATTTAGAAATTCAAATGTCTAGTAAACAATTTTAACAACATTAAAATACTAAAAAACAAGCAGAGCTGTGCATTGTTGTACTAATAAAAAGTTATCTAAATAATCGTCTAGATAATACAAATGATTCGGATAACCTTCAAACATATTATATTCGAATAAATTTCGAGTGCAGGTTTTCAACTAAATTTTCTTAAAAACATGATTTTTTTAAAATATAAAAAAAACAATGACTATTAAATTATGCTAGAATAGTATAATTATTTTTAAAAAAAGGTTTAGAATAATTTTTTTTTTTTTTAGTAAATAAATCTTGACATAATTATTTGAATAACGTTTTATTTAAATAATTTGCACGCAACTCTGATAGCAAGTAAAAAATAATAACTTATGTAGACTTAACAATAGATTGAAAACACACACACACACACACGTTTGATGTTTTCTATGTCATTCACTATTTAATGTCTTACTTATATTTGTTGTTGTAAACATAACATAATATAATGTAATGAAAGCCATAATGAAACCCATACAAACACAATTATCTTGACTTCTTGTACTTGTACACTACCTATGCTAAATCAATTATAGTAATCTAATAAAAATGAATGTCGTTTATGCCTATGTATAAAACAAAAGATAGTTTTCAATAGCCCCCCTGATTATGCCTTTTGATTTATGAACAAACCAAAAATAGCTGACCGTAAGGTAATACCGTGTCGTCCATTCAATTATAGTTATAATTATTATAAGATAATACACAATATGTAGAAGTGTGAAGGAATATCAGTGTGGTCGTAGAAAAGTAAAAATATAATAATAATAAAATACAATATATCCGTTAAAAATAGGTAGACATACGTATACATAGGTACTATGTGTGCCGTTTTCAATAATTGCTGTTTAAAAAAAAAAAAAATAATAATAATGTTTAATTATCAAAAATAACAAAGCGTAGGAAAAAAATCAAAGCGAGATTAGTATTTTAAAACTAGACTCAGCTATTATTAGCGCGACTGCAATGTTATGTTTAACATACAGCTAAATGTTTATGTTTTTTAATGGCATCAACACAATTAATATTATATTATAAACTAAAAATATTTAGAACACATTTGTTCGAGGTAGTCATATAATTCGTCGTCCATCGATCCCCAGGAATTCGGCATGTCCACGTGTGATGTGCTACGCGACCGCCCTGTATTCCCACCGGTTGTCGTACCGCCGTCGCCGTTGCTGACCCTAACCGCGGTTGTGGTAACGCCGTCGTTTTCTTCGCGGAACTCTGTGGCCGAAATTGGCCGCACGTACCCTCTGAACTGGCCGACGTTGTTGGTCAACCGGATGCGCACGATATGGTCGTAGTGCACCATGTACATGGGGTAGAACTCGAAATCGTCGTACTTGACGTACACCCGTTGTGTGGAGCTCATTGTCGTGTCGTACCCGTCGCCGGCGTGGTGCACGTCGTGAACGACCATGCGAGACCCGTGGTCCAGCGTCTTTACTTTTGATATCAGCACGGAACACACGATGATCACACGGCCTCCTGGAGACAAGCAAAACAAAGAAAAAAGAAAACATTGTGAATAATCTCGTCCCCGACCAGAGACTATTTTAACACGGATATCATCGGGTTGGTTACAAGACCTTTCGTGTCGCCATTTTCGCGCGTAAGTTCATTCGAAACATTTAAAAACATTGAGATATGAGTGATAAGAGATAAGTGATAAGTGATAAGAGGTAACATGTCCATGATTCAGTGTTTAGGCATTTAATTAGCTAGCTGCCAAAATAACAACACACACGTATATTTTACGTTGTATACGAACAATAATAATAATTAAAGGCATAAAAAAAAAGAACATGAACAAATGTACAGGTACAGAAATACCTATTAAATAACGTGAACTTACGGGAAGTATTAGGAAAATAAAATAAGCTGCTATCTATAAAACTATGATAGTTAACAAGACTTGATAAGTAAGATGGTCTATTTTATTTTTCCAAAAAAATTCCATAGGAATCGATTCTTCTAACCGAAAGAGATTCAACATTTAAAAACCTTAATAAGTTGTGTTCTCCAGCAGAATGAGGAGGCCTTTCGATATTAAATTTTAAACTAATGAAGCGAAGGAATGTTTTTATTGTAACTATCCATCATTGTTGGCAATGCCACGTACAACCGACTCCTATTCGTGTGTATAGTGATCAGATATCAATAATAATTAAATATGTCTTATAAAACCGACATTTGAACAAATTTACACCATCCCTGGGGTTAGGCCATGGTTGAATATACAGGTTATTGCACACCGTCTCTAATTGAAATCTTCAGAAATAAGATGGCAGCGTAAGGGGATATCAATTATATTTTACCTTATAATTTACTGTGTACTTACTACTTGTATGTTTGATTTTGATTGGCTAGCTTTTACGTTGACATATTTGTTTTTATCATATCAAATATTAAAGAGGGGGGGGGCATTGTGCAATAACCTTGTATATTTCAATCATGGGCTGGGTTAGGTTAGCTTTTAGCCTCTTAAAAACTTAAATGCCGCTAGACTCCTTTTGGGGATCTCATGCGAACTTTTACTTCCCTACCATGACATTTAAAAAAAATTATAAACTTCCAGAAAACGATAAGATTTATTTTGTTGTTGTTCGATTCTAATATTTTACACACATATAATATCAATAGCATCTAAACAAAGAGTTTCCATGGCTTTTTAGAATTTTAAAACGTCAGATCCCATATTGAAGGATCTCGCTGCACTGATTCCAAATGGAATCTCACAGCAGGCAATTGAAGTTTTCTAAGTGGGGCAGTCAATTAGTTAAACATTTAATAAACGATTATAATATGATGTATGAATAATCTGGCTTTTTACTGCCACCAGAGCCTGACTTAGAATTTTTGAGGCCCCGGACAAAAGAAAAAAATGGGCATATTATTATAAATTGTAAATTTAACTAAAAGGATTAAATCTAGTAAGTAGGCCCCTGATCCACACGGGCCCTGGACAAATACCCATAATGTTCTTGGCTCTGACTGCCACTCTCTAACGTTGTGGGTCAATCGTTTAAATGATGATTTCTATAAACATATGACACCAGAATCAAAATCTATCACATCAGTCGAGCATCATCCCCATTCCTTGCTGTTCTTCCCTCCTCCCTCATTGGCTCAACACTATTGCCCTAAAGCTAATGCTGTGTCTGTTCTCACCGGTGTTTCTGTTGTCGGCGTAACAATCTGCGTACTTGGCGTGATCGCTAAACGAAACCCCTCGGCCGAACTTGGCTCTTTTCGTCCTGCGCCAGTCCAGCCCGTCTTGCAACGATGCCGTTGCGTTGGCAACACCGGTCACGTGGTACAGAAGTCGTTGCTCCACTCTGCCACCGTTGAGTTCCAGTTCCTCTTTGCGCAGCAAGTACATGCCGTACATTTGTCTGTGGTTCACCGATCTGATCTTCGTTATGGAACACTAAAAGTCATAAATATCATTCATTGAATATTCGTGTATCGTTTGGAAAATGTTTAGAGGTGTTTGATTTTTAACAGCAGGCAAGATTTTTAAAGTTGACAATTTCCTCAGGTAATTTTGAAGATGTATTACTAGCTGATTGCATTAGAGTAAGTTAAAAGATTCTTAAAGGAATTGTGGGATATCAAGAAGGTCTTCTTATTGTGAGGATTTATATTGAGTTTAATTTGACTAAGAAGGAATAGCAATCGTCAGTCTCATTTGCTAATAATAATAATGGTATAACAATAATCTCTCCTATCGTTTAACGATTTAAAATTTTATAATTGGACAGTATTCTCATGACCAGAGTAGGCTTGTCTTGTAATGTTACATTTATAGGTTATATGACGAAGAACTTTGTTCTGAACAGACTCAGTTTGGTTGCTATGACTTATAGTTATGGTTAGGGTCTTTAAACTTATTGTAACGGTTACTTTCTAATTTCTAATGAAAATGTATGTTGAAAAACAGTTTAAAATAAAAATTATATCCAAGATGTTTAGATAAACTCGAGTTAAACTATAATTGGCTAAATTATATTTAAGTGTTATTAGGTTGCGTTGAAATGCCATTATATTCATAGTGGGTTGAAAAAAAACTAACAACTTGGTTTTTGTCTTGTACCTACCGACGGGAAGGTCTCCAGTACACATTTCTTGACCCATTCCTTTTCTTTGCTCTCGCATTCGATCAACACGTTGTCGTCGTCTAACGGTAATTTGCCCAGCTTGGCAGCTTTTTTACTGATTTTTCCCACCAAACTCATTTTGTTCAATCGGCTACCTGCGACAAAACCATATACAGGTATGTAGATTAAGTTCAATTCCTTAACTCCCAAATTGGGAAAACCTTGGAAAACTTTTGTTGTACATTATAATTATTTTATAAATCTATATCTTATATTTTTTACACTTTTATAGAGCTCTGATGTTTCAGGCACGTGTCTGTCTACAAATTGCTTCAAATCCAAATTTTGACGACCCCTAATCCTCCTCGCGGGGGTTTGGATGTTCTAATTTTATTGGGCTGGATACAAGAAATGTCATGTCGCTATTTGCCCTTTACACTTTAGATTAGAGATAAGAGAGACGTGATAAGAAATAAAAAACAAAATATGAGTGATAATAGATTAGGTATATGTGATATGAAATAAAATAAAAAATATAAGTGATAAGAGATAACATAATTATGTCTAAAAATAATTAAAAAAAACAAAAAATGATCCGAATTTTAAATATAGTTATACTTTTCTATGAAATTTCACCTCCTTTTTGTTTTATTTTCGGAGCGTTCTTTCAGAGAACTCAATTTGAAATTTACAAATTTTATGAAGAATTATCTTTTCGAAAAGCATATTAGAAAATGTTTCAAATTTTGCGCAACACGAAAAAAACAACTTTTTAGATTATACTCAATTTTAATGACTTTCCGTTAATTGATAAAAAATAAATCTTTTTTTTCAGAAAGTTGAGATTATTTTACATAATACACTGGTTTTTTACATTTTTGTGGCAAGAAATAAACTCGAAATATTTTTTACGAGAAAATAATCGAAAACAATTTTTTTCATCGTAACAGACATGCAGTGTGATTTAAAAAAAAATAAATAGAGGATCGCTTCAAACGTTCGTATTTGGAGTTCTGACCCATACACGAGGCGCTCAGATGCCAAACCGTTTAACTCCCATTTTTTTTAAAATAGCGAATAATAGCATAGTTAGATTAAATAAGTGTATAATTTTCAGTGGCGAAGATAAATAACTCCATAGTTGAATTTTTCACGATGACGGGAAATAGTAACTTCAATTGTCTATGTTGGCGGCATGTACTAAAGCTTTAGCATACCCCGTCTCGGCTTTTTCTTGGATCTAAATATTACATTACATTATATTGATCATGTCCCCCTTATTACCCAAGGGTCCCAGTCCCAGATCCCGTTCCAACAGTTAAAAGCTCGCCCAGAATCGTGGTACATAGAATCGGACTGTTCCTTAGGTTAGATACCTTAAGGGTAACACAGGTAACCACGATAGATAAAGGCGGTATCACAGCTATGTCGTCTGTCGTGTCGTGCGATTTAAGAAGTGGGCGTGGCCACTTTAGGTTACTTATGGTAATTATTTAATACCAATTTGGTGATTATCGATCGTGGTTACCTAATCAGTGAATGCCATAGAGCACTCGCGAAAAAAATTTAAATTTGATAAAATAATTTCTTATAAATATACCGTATACGGCCCATCAAAGACAAACTGGCATTGAATGCAGATAGTGATAGTAATAAGTATGTTCAAATTGATAAAAAATCAATTGACCGTGGTTACCATACTGTAACCACCTATACCACACGATACAAAAGTTGAGCTCAGCTCAACTCTAGCAATAACCCGGTAGGTCATGGTTACTTAATGATACCGTGATTACAACGGTCAATCAGAAGGCGATATAAGGCACACGACAGACGACGTAGCTGTTATACCGCCTTTAACCATCGCCTACCATTCGCTTGAGTACCGTGGTTACCATGGTTACGAACAAAGTGTTTATTTTGGGTTAGCAAAGGAAAATATTTCGTATTTAAAGTACAAAGTTCGTGACTGTTGACTTCAATTCTTATCACTAGTTAGCAATCTAGTTTATTATACTGTGTAGATAAACAATTAGTGATAATAGATTAGAGATAAGTGATAACAGATAACTATCCGTGATTAAATGTTTTATCCGTGGAGCGTAGAAAATTACTAGATTTTTTTTTTGTTAAGTTTTTCAAGCGCAGTTCTAGTACTGAAAATTAGACCGAAAGTAGGTCTAACTTATATCTGAAAAAAAATCTGTAAAAAAGTACATTTATGCCAAACTAGAAGATAATAATAATAATTATCGAATATGTTTTATAATACTCCCGGCGAGATGTATACATTAATTTACTGGCCTAAAAATAAAATGGATAATTTCTCGAGTGTTCTTATCATTATTATTGTTTATTTTTTTTTTTTAGCTTCGATGCGATATTTTTTTCGAAATTTTGTTACCATGTAGTCATCCAAATTGTTTCTGCAAGCAGATTTTATGTTATCATGCTGGTGGACGATAAAAAATTGAAAGCGGCTGTCGAGCGCGCCTTGCAAGAGGACCCGTACGCCTTGCAAATCCGGTTCGACCAGTTCGTGTCGCAAGCGAACGACTGCAAGCTCGACGACCGGCCGGCGCTGTGTCCCGCCGCTTATCTGACGCCGGACAACGCTTGCGACGTCATCTCGCTGCTGGTGGCCATCAAGGACGTGCCGTCGTTCCCGCTGTTGAAGGCCATGCTGCTCAGGTCGGAGCCCGTCCCTTCGCCGGACATATTCCGGCATCTGTTGTACGGCCTCCCGGCGGAGCCGGACGTGCGGTCCGTGGACGCCGACCGGGCGTCCCGGTTTCTGGAAGCGGCGTTGGGCGGCGCGGCCGTGCCGGACGAGTCGCCGCACTGCACGGTGTTCCAGTTGGGCGGTCGGCTGGTGGACGCAGGCCAGTTCGGTTTCCACGGGTGTCGGCTGTGCGACGTGCACGACGTGCTGTCCGACAGGCCCGAAATCCGCGTCGCCAACAGCCTGGCCGCAGCGGTGGCCGACGCGCCGAAATCGTACGGCTGGGGCAAGAGCCTGTTGGGCGGCGTGCTCCGCACGGTGATCGCGTGCCGCGTGCCGGACGCCACCCGGTGGGACGACGGCGGCAACGCGACCGCCGACAAGTACGTGCCGCGGTATCTGCTGGTGTGGACGACCGGGCCGCCGATGCCGGTCAACGTCAGGTCCGACTGGCCGCGGAGACTGGCCGGATTCGTTGGCGAAAACATGGACCTGGTCGGCCTGGCCTTGTCCGTCGGGTTTTTAATCGGCGTCAGCCTGGCCACCGACCCGGAGTTGTCCGGTTGTTTAAGCACCCTGTATAAATGGGCCAACGCCCGTGTTTCCAAACACACTGTATAATAAGTAATTGTATTAAAACAAAAAAAAAACGGTTTATCGTTGCTATTTTTTTTTTTATGAATATTTTATTAATTGACACAAGTCACGAGTGACGACATTGAAATACACAGACGCACAGAGGCAACGGAAAACAGCTGTTGTTTTTCGAGATGGTAAAAATCCTACAAAGATAAGACGTAAACGCACGTGAACCTAGTACACGCCAGTGTTGGGCAAAATGTAATCAGTAATCATAGTGATTTTAGTGAGTCAATTAATAATTGTAATCGCAGTAATCATAGTGCAAGATTAATATAGGTAATCATAATCAGAAAAGTAATCACGTAGGTATGATTACTGTATCATGTAATAATTGTAATCATGATTACATTAATCACTCAATTTTAATCACGAAATGATTAATGGTTATATTTGTTTAACCGCCTTAGACTCAGTGGCGCAACTAGGGGGAGGGGCTAGGGGGCTTAGCCCCTTGACTAAAATGTAGCCCCCCCGCCCAAAAAAAAATATTCCTTGTTGAGTTGAGTATCAGTTAAACTTTTTTTTGTCGTTTAATGAACGTTATTAAAACTTAAAATGTTTTTTCAAGTAAAAACAATTTATTATATAAATTCAAAAATTAACAGTAATGGTTTTAGATTTTTTATATTCCAAAAAATAAACTACTTGTTGGCTATCATATATATATATATAATCTATTTTCGAGAAATCCCAAGGAGGTTAGGTTAAACCATGATTTCAGGGTTTTCATGATTACATAGTTGTAATCGACTTCGTTTTTTAATCATAAAGTAATTGATTATGCCCGACACAGTTGTGTTAGCATTGATTATGCTCACAATGTTAATAGTACTTCTTTTAATGGGATTCCAAAGGGTTTGGTTTTAAAGAGTAGGGTATAAAATATTTGTATAAGCAATATATTTAAGAAAAAAAAAAGGTTTAAATACATTTTGACCATGTCGATAAATGTATCAGCTAATTTGTCATTTGTAATTTACAATTTCAATCCTGTAAAGACATTAGAATTCGTTGACTATTTTACTATGTTTTATAGGATAAACCGATTTTTATTTAAACATTACAGTTTCTTGTAATTAAATAAATTTGCAATTTTTTTTCAGTATTTAACCCAATTTTTTTACACAAAAAAAACTAACAATTAAAAATCTGTTTCCTGCATAACCAAGTAAGTTCCAAAAAACTCTTATGTCTTTACAGAATTAAAATCAAACTATTCTAAACTATTCTAGTCGAAATTTTGGTCTAAAACTTCAAAAAAAAACAGACATCACCTAAATATTGAAAACCTGTTTTACCATTTTTTTTTTTAAAAAAAAGGTAACTTTTATAATTTTAATAGTAAGTTTGAAATAACTGAATCTTGAAACAGTTATTGACATTAATTGTATGTCTTTGCTTTGGCACATAATCGACACCAGTTATTATAACAAAAAAATCAGCTGAGATAACAAATGAAATTGTATAAAAAAAAAAATACGTTAAATTATTTCATTTTCTCATAAAAAAAAAACTATTTTAGATTTTATTATAATCAATTATCAAACTCTAAGATATTACACACCTATTAAATTAACACTTAATAGCTGAATTTTTTAAGATAAAAAATAAAGCATCGTCACAAAATTAGGTCTCTAAAAAGGAGCTGTTCACATTTTAGTGATATTTATTTCTTAACTTATCCTTTTTTCCAATAGAAGATAAAATAGGATAGGAGTAATCGATGGTTTCAAAATTCGTTTATTGCAACAAGAGGCGCAAATCTGGGATAAATAAATTGGCAATAAATAT